AGGGGGGCGGGAGCAAGGGGGGGGAGAGGCGGGCCAGGGATGCCCCAGAGGCGGGAGGAGCAGAGTAGAGCATCACTGCGGAGTGGTGAGCCGCTTGCCGACTAGAGGTGGGTTCGGCTCCATAGGGAGGTAGGGGAAGGTGGGGTGCGCGCGCCGAGGATTGAGAGCACGGCGAACATGTTTGCGGGCGTGAGGTTCTCCCCGAGCGACTTCCCGTCGAGCACCTGCAAGAGGAAGGTTCCGAGAAGGGTCATGGCAGCTGCGAGGGACGCTCCTCCCGCGCCTCCCGCTGTGCACCTTCTTGGAGAGGATGGCCTTGGCGGCGGACGTCACCTGGGCAGGTTCCAAGAAGGTCCCGAGAAGCTTCCGAGAAGGTTCCGAGAAGGTTCGGCCTTGGCGGCGGACGTCACCGCGGAGCCGGTGCCAGCGATGAAGGACATCCACGAGAAGGTGAGCTCCTTGAGCGAGGCGAGACATGGTGAGATATGGTGAGATATGGGGAGATATGGGGAGATATGCTGAGCTCCTTGAAGCGAAGCGAGGCTGACGCCGGCGATGATTGGCACCTCGAGGCCCTAGTTCCAGAAGGATTCAGAGAGGGAGGGAGGGAGCGGCGTGCGAGTGCTGCACCGGACGTGATTCGCCCCTCCACCCACGAGGAGCGGCTGAAGACCAGGTCCGCGCTCACGACGATCTCACAGCCTGGGAGCGCGGGGCCGTCGAGGAGAGGGGAGTGAGTGTGTGGAGCTCGAGGAGAGGGGAGTGAGTGTGTGGAGCTCATCCTTCGGGCGCCGACGGGGTCCGCCAGACTACAGCGGCAGGCAAGGAAAGCGGAAGAGGGTGTCTCTTGTGTCGCCTCTCGGTGAGTACGCCCGGGGTCTGAATAGGTCGGTGAGGCACAAAGTAGATGGTGAGCACGAAGAAGTCTGTGAGCCACCCAGTGGGTGGTGCGCGCCATAAGTAGGTGGTGCTAAGTGCTGCGGCGAGCCGGGCCCGCCTGCTGCGTCTGGTCTGTCAGCGACGCAGAGCTTGCAGTGGAGGGCGAAGTAGTCGCCATAGGGCACGTC